GCACCTTTAACAGATTGGGTTTTATTACTTGATACAACTTTCTTAAAAGATTGGCTTTTGTTATTTGATACAACGTTCTTAACAGATTGAGTTTTGTTTTTTGATACAACGTTCTTAACAGATTGAGTTTTGTTTTTTGATACAACGTTCTTAACAGATTGNGATACAACGTTCTTAACAGATTGAGTTTTGTTTTTTGATACAACGTTCTTAACAGATTGAGTTTTGTTTTTTGATACAACGTTCTTAACAGATTGGGTTTTATTTAAAACTTTTACTTTATCTGTTTGAGATTTCATATTATTTTTATTCTCTTCGAGTTTTTTACTACGTTTCTCAAGTTTAGAAGATTTCGTAGAATTTATATTTCCTTTTGTTTGGACCTTTTGTAATTTATTAGAATTATTTTCCAATTTATTTTTACCTTTAGGACTTAACTTAGTTTTAATCTTCTTCATCTTACTTTTACTTTTACTTTCGTTTATATCATTATTTGTTAATTTTTTTTCTTTACTATTATTACTGTCTTTATCTTTTTCTTTTTTTTCTTCGTCATCAACACTATCATCAATACTTTCCTCATTCTTTGTATTATTAAAACTATCTTCGTCTTCTTCTTCTTCTTCTTCTGAGGTATCATCATAATCATCATCATGATTATAATAAAAATAATCATCATCATCAGAATCATTATCCTCTTCTTCATCGCTATCATCATTATCCTCCTCCTCCTCATCATCATCATCCTCTTCTTCATCATCTTCATCATTCCCATCACCATCATCATCTTCATCGGTGTCACCTTCATCATCCTCATCATTATTATGATCATCTTCAGAAAAAAAACCATATTCTAAATCACTATTTTCATCCGATGAGAAAAAAACTTTTAATGGATCTGTGTCTGTTACAGAATTTTCATGATCTGTTTCTTCATCTGTGCTAAGTTCATCATTATCTAATTCATTTGCAAAATCTTCATCCATCTCAAAATCCTAAAATATCAAATAAAATTATACAGTATTGAAGTGAAATAAATAAATAAATTATAAAGAAATAATATAAATAAATAACATACTTCAACATTTTCAATATCTTGTAAAATTCGGGCATTTTGTTGTTGATTATTTGTAATTTTTAGATTATCTAATTTTCGCTTAAAAGCTTGCTTTTCTATTCCCATTTTCGTTATTTTTTTAACAACCTAAAATTCTTTAGTTCACCGATAAACTAAAGCACATGGTTCTACCATAAAATAATATACATAAACGAAGACACATATCCATATAAAAATAACAGAAAATATTACAGCGCCTCTAATGGTCATTTAACATAACTAAAATAGTATTATTCAAATTGGCGGGTAATTTGAAATACATAAATTAATAAACATTTAACATTAATTTAAAATAATAAATGAAAAAACATAAAGACTAAGTAATATTGTAAATATTTAGAATATTAAATTATCTGATAGTATTTATAAAGTAATTCGTTTTTAAAACGATAAATTTTTATTAATTATTTCTAAAACGCACCACAGTAGCGGGAGACGCGAACGCATTCTAACCTTTTTTATACATGCGACTGATATGTAGATTGTTACATATGCATCAAATATTGTAAATAAACAAATAAATTGTATTAAATAAAATAATTAACAATGTTCGAAGCACACAGTATTAATGCAGAGCATAAAGATTTAATACATGACATTGCATATGATTTTTATGGAAAACGAATGGCAACATGTTCAAGTGATCAATTTGTAAAGGTAATAATAATAATATATATATGAAATAATATGAAAATAATGAAATATTTAAACAAAAACATAGGTGTGGGATGAAGATGAGCATGAAAATTGGCATTTAACTGCTTCGTGGAAAGCACATAGCGGATCAGTTTGGAAAGTTACCTGGGCTCATCCTGAATTCGGTCAAGTTCTTGCTACATGTTCTTTTGACCGTACTGCAGCTGTTTGGGAAGAAATAGGTATGTCTATCAAACTTGTTACATTCATCTAATATTATTTACATTAATATTTCTTTATACTTAATACAGTTGAAGGATCAGGATCTGGAGAACGTGGTATGCGTCATTGGGTTAGGAGAACAAATTTAGTAGATTCTAGGACATCTGTTACAGATGTTAAATTTGCTCCAAAGGTATTAGGACTTTTGTTGATCACTTGTAGTGCTGATGGAGTAATTAGAATATACGAAGCACCAGATATTATGAATTTAAGTCAATGGACTTTGCAACATGATATTAGTTGTAAACTTCCATGTAGTTGTCTTTCATGGAATCCATCGTTATCAAGGTAACATTAATGTTACGGTCTGTAAAAAGAGATATTTGATTTATATATAATTTTTATATTATACGTATGTATATATGTATATATTAGATTACATCCACCAATGATAGCAGTTGGAAGCGATGATACAAATACATCCAGTGGAGGAAAAGTTTTTATATATGAATATTCTGAGGGTAGTAGACGATGGACAAAAACTGAAACATTATCGAACATTACTGACCCTGTTCATGATATCGCATTCGCACCCAATTTAGGTAGAAGTTATCATACGTTAGCTGTAGCCACAAAGGATGTAAGAATAATTATATTAAAACCGATGCAGTAAGTAAATAATAATAATAATATTTTTCAATTAAAAGAAAAATAATTAATATTATTTATATTATAAAAATAATTCTTAATTTTCTTCATAGGGAAAATGCTCAAAATGGTTTATCACGTTTTGAGATAACGACAGCTGCACAATTTGATGATCATTATACCACTGTGTGGCACGTATGCTGGAACATTATGGGAACTATTTTAGCAAGTTCTGGGGATGATGGTTGCGTTAGATTATGGAAAGACAATTATATTAACAATTGGAAATGTGTAGCTGTTTTAAAAGGAGATGGCACTTCCGCTCAAAATGCTGAAACTCCTGTCGCAGCTACTCCACCTAATCAACCCACAGGAATTCCACCACCTTCAACCGCAAAATACTACAAACTGGGTTCCATCAGTCATCCAAATCAAGTACCTTGGCATTAGAATATACTTTAGAATAGAAAATAAGATTGATTTTCAATACAATCAATAATCATATGATCTTTGTTATTATGATGACAAATACATGGATATTTATTCAAATAATATCACAAGAGCACATATTATATTTTGTCGATTTAACTAACATTGTCGTGCGTTGTTTTTCTTATATTTCTTTGATTTTATTTTATCAAGAAAAAACAATTTGTCAAGATATTTTACATTTCTCTTGCTATTAAAAAAAAAAAAAAAAAAAAAAAAAAAAAAAAATACATTTAATCTATTTTTCACAATGAATTATTATTTTTTTTTTTTTTGTCAAAAAGTATTATCAAACTGAAAATGTGCGAATACCTCATCAATAATAGTTTCAGAGACCATATTTATGATTATTTCAAATTACCAATACTATCCTCTCTTTGTTATTTTCAAGTAATTTATGAAATATCCATCCATCTTCCTTCTTCTTCTATGTTATTATTTTGAATTATGCGCAGAGATAAAGATAAACCTGAATATGTCCTATTCTTTAGTTGTAGCATTATACCGAGATAACAAAAAAATAGCTATCGAGATACACATAAAGGCCTACATTATCATATTTATAATATCATTATCATAAAAAATATCATTTGAAAATCAAAAAAAAAAGAAAAAAAAAAAGAGAATTTAACGAAACATTTTACAATAGTTAATATAAACTTATACTTTTACATGTACATTTATAAAAAAAAAAAAGTTAATTTCTGATAAATTTGTAAAATATTTTAATATTAATAAAAAATTTATATATATTATTAAAAAAAAATACGCTTTTAATTTTTTTTCCTAGAAAAGAAAGATTTCTTTTTTTTCTTCGCAGTACAATAATACGAGAAAGGTAGAAATTCAACTAAAAAAAAAAAAAAAAACTTTTACAATATTTTAACGTGCCTGCCCCTGTATGTTGTTTACGATAAATTAGTTTGTTATATATATTTCTAAGTTATATATATTTGAATAATAATTTTCCTAAAAATAAAACAATTTATCTTTTAATTGAATAATCTTCATTATAAATAATTCGTAGATTTCACGTATCATCGAATATTTGTACAAAATCTGTCTTATTAATTAAGTAAACTTTATTTTAATTATTGAGATTGATTTATTAAACAATTTTAAATAATTTATTTTTATTGCATTTTCAAGGTTGTAACGATGGCCTCGATCACAGCGGAGAAACCTACGACACTTATTATGTGCAGTAATAAATGGCAAGCACCTGTGATAAAAGGTCGTTTTAGTAAATCAGTTTGGTTGGGGAATCCCGGTGAATCAAATTTACCACCACCTCCGTTCATAGAACGTCCAAAGGTAAAAAAATAATTCTATTCTTTTTATAATAACAATTGGTATAAAAAGATAAGAAATTTTGTTTACGAGCATGATTGCATAATCATAAAATTAAATATATATATATATATATATTCCAATAAGATAATATAGAATATTTATCTATCATATATATATATATATTATATTTAATATATTTATTTTATCTGTAACACACAGTTGTGCGTTATAGATTTTAGTCATTTACTATTTATATAAACTGCCAACATTTCTTACATGTACAAAGTAAATTTAAGTCAAGACTGTGGATAATTATATGCCTTCGCACCAATAACTTATATGTGTTGAAAAAATTTATATCGCATACATATGTATTTATCTTTAAGGAGGATTTATAGATATATATATATATATATAATATTAATTACATATATTCTAAAACATTATGGGAAAAATTTCATAGCGTAACGTATATATGTGCCCATAATTATGAAAGTGATTTAAGTTAAAATGAATAAAAAATGAGTTTATCAGTTATTACGCACTACATTATTATAAACTAAATAAATTTAATGTAATTTTCACGATATTATCAAAAATGAATCGTTAGATAATGTTTGTTATTTCAATATTGTATAGAATTCATATAGTGTTCAAGTATAAATCTTGAAATATCTCGAAACAAGAGATATATGACTTAGACCATTTTCATATAATTATGGACACATATATAATATTAATAAAACATTATAAAGTTAAAATAATTAAGATTACGAATAATAAAAAAAAAAGTAATAACATATATTAATAAAATAATACATACTCTTAATAATATTTGTAGTTCAAACGAATAGTATTGATATAATAAATTGCCCAATTTTTCATCACTATCATATTCTATTTCTTTATTATATCAAACAACTATATATATATACACTATAATATTATTAATATTTTTATATTGGTGATTTATCGAATCCATATTGTGCAAATTCTTTGCCTTCTCTTTTAATATGAACGTTAGGGAAACCTGGATCACTTGGAAATTGTATAGTACGTGACATTGATACTCTCCAACCTCCAGTTTTTGTCCAATCCTAAATAAAACAATACAATTTTAATTTCCTAAGCAGATAGCAATGAAACTAATGATATAAGTGTGATTGCTAAGTTAAAAGAACTAAATGCATGTTATTGAAAAATATTAATATAAATAGTTAACTTACATGACTATTATATTTAAAGTAATACCAAGCAGCATATACAGTAATTATTCCCATTATACTTTTTGCTGTAACATGACGTAATGCGTCAGCCCATGTAGTACCCTATAGAATCATATTAATTCTGTTATATATGTTTTAGAAATAAATGATAATATAATGAAGAAGATATATCAAATTACCACCATAGGAACCAACATCTTTTCAAATTTATCCAAAGGTGCTCTGTAAAATCTTCTAATTGGATTATACCTTTCTTTATAATAATTGGATGGTATTACCGGTTCACTAGGATCTAATATTTGGTCCTTTAAAAATTGTGCACGCCATGCACGTTCTTCATCTGTCATACCAATACAACGTTCTCTTTGTCGGACCATACGACGACCCAACGAGATGGCCATCTCTTCGCTGGTCTGCGGTGGCTTCATGGTGTTTTCCTTTACTGGAAGAAAATAACAAAAATTGTGTTTTATTAAACAGAAAAATTTAATTACTTACAGTTTTGTTTTATATAACTTTCCATTTTACTTACTTTTTTGACATTTTAAAAGTACTACTTTAAAAGTTTAAAAAATAAATAAATAAATAAAGAATAGAAAATGTATATTTAATTTACATAATAGAACATATTGAAAAAAACCATTAAATGATTATACTCAATATGTATTATTCAAAATTTTTTTCCAAAATCTTTCTACTCGTTAATATTTAAATTATTCAATTGCATATCATATGTTATATATATATATATATGTTCAATAAAATATATATATTTACAATTTGAATAATAAAATATATAATATAAAAACAAACCTTTTCAATCAGACTGATTAAAAATATAGGTTATAGTAATATTACGTCACGAATTGTAGGTTAGTATTCTATTGAAAAATATTATAAGGATTTAGTTACCGACAGAGAGTTCATATGATAAAGAAACTTGCTAACTTACCTACAAGACCCTTATGATAAAAAAATTTATACACTAACTTATCGACAGTGAACAAGCGGCTAAAATTTAAATTTAAATAAAATCTGTTTTATACAATAATTCTTTAAAAGAGATTGTAATAAATAAATAAATGTAAATATACATATTAAAGAAAATACTTGTATTAACACTAAACACTTTTATTTTTGTTTCTTTTTTTTTTTTCGTACATCCATTATAAAAGAAAAACTATAACGTTTGATCAAAACATGATATGCATAAGAATTAGTTTGAACATTCATAAATACGGAGAATTTAGAAAAAAAAGATCTGAATGATGTATATTAAGTATTTGTACAGTGTATGTATATGGATTATACGTCAAGATACGATGATAATTTAATATGAAAAAAGTTTCTTTGTTCATATTTATGATATGCGTTTTGAATATTGTTATAGAGTTTCAATAAGAATGAATGAATGAATGAATGAATGAATGAACGAGTTGGTGAGTGAGTAAGTGTGTGTATACTTTCAAATGACAATGAATATGATATATACATAATTAATTACTATAATAATTTATCAGAAAAATATCTCAATTATAACGGAGTAATTATCGCAATTATAATATCCCAAAGTATCGCGTTACTTGAAGAATTTCATATGAATATCACCTAAACTTGTTAATTTTGATATGTTGAAAAATTTGTCTGTTCCTTGAATATATCTCATATAATTGTATTTTATATATATAAATATGTATATATTTATAGGCATTATGCTTAATGAATATACAGTTTATAATCTTTTGTATGATGCAAGCACAGTTAACAGCGATTCATTAAGCACGAAATTAATAAAAAAAATAACTTAGAAAAAGAAGATTTAAAATTGTTTGAGTATTAATATTAAAAACAACATCTCGCAACAGCTTTACAATTGGAAATAACATTGATCGAAACGTTATTATGTTTTTAATAAGACGCGTGTGTGTCTTATGTAATTGATTTTATCAAAGTCAGATACAATTGAAATATTAATTGTTTTCCTTATTCTTGCACAGAGATTTGTTTATCTGGTTTTTTTTTCCCCTAAGCTGGCACATTCAATAAAAGATGGGAAATATACATTGTTACTTTTAATATCTATGCTATATGTCTACGTGTTTTTTTTTTTCTTTTTTTTTGTAGCATGTAATATTAGAGAAAGGATAATATTATGAACATTGTTTGGCCTTGTTTCATTAATTATAACAATTATTTTGACTATTTAATGCAAAGCTGTATTTTTCATTTCTTATCTAATTTTTTACGTTTTCAATAACTTCGTTGCAGATTTTCTTTATGTATAGATATTTTTCTTATAACATTTGTTTGTTTGTTTAATGTTATTACATTTTATAATTATACACACAGAAGTATCTATTTGAATGTTTTCATTTAATTCAGAACTATTATTATTATTATTATTGGTTCTTCTATAGAAATATTGCAAATCATGCATGTTTAATATGCATATATTTAAAGCCATATTTAATTGATCGATAATCACACTATCAAAAGATTCTTCTTATCAATAATATTGTGTTTATGTGTTTGTTTGTATGTTGTGTATGTATGTATGTATGAATGCATGTATATAAATAAATTAGTGGAAAAAAAAAAGAAGACAAACTTAATTGGACGATATTTCGTTTGTGTTAATTTAATAGAATATATAATTTAATTTAATTTAATTTATATAATTAAATAAAATTAATATATAACGGCAGTGTGCATACTATTACACAAAAAATCGTAACGAGGCATTCAAATGATTATGTTTATACAAATATTTCAATTTTATACTGTATATATATATATATATATATAAAGATAAAATTGTAAATAGTATGCTGTTCAATTAAAATTATCGATAATTACGCCTGTATATAGAAAAGAAAGAAAATGATTTATAGTATTAAAAATATTTACAATATATTATGCATTGGCATGTTTTTTTTTTTTTTTATTATTAATTAATTAATTCTAAGCGACGAATTAATCGATTTAAAATTGCATCTTATTAAGTGTTCATGTTGATATGAAGTTTACGCTTTTTTTTTCTCATTTGCAAATTCCTATTGCAATGTGTACAGGTCTTTAAAAAATAAAAGACTGACATATATTATAATAATAATAATAATATTAATAATATTATTAATAATAATAATAATAATAATAATAATAATAATAATAATAAAAAATATTAAACGCTTAGGCCAAGTTTGAATAATATTTTGTTGAAAATAATTTTCATGTCATTTTTTAATAACATTTTATCGAGTACCTACACATTTTCTTTTTTGATCAATATTAAGAGTCTTAAACTCGATTAATTATTTGATTTGATCGATCCTGTTATACTTTTTCACTTAAAAATTGCAGAAACTTGGGTAACTATCAACAAGTTATTAACAAAAAAAATTATGTTCTATAATCATATACAATAGTATATGCAACAGTTTTACTCTCAGTCATACCATTCGTCCAGAGATGCACATCATTATCATAATCATCATCATTATCATCATCATTATCATCATCATTATTATCCATCGATGTGCCAACTCAAGATTACGATGGTTCTACATTAATCAACGTAATTGGTGTTCTTCCTTGTGTTATAATCAACAGCATCATTCCGTTGATTATTGAAACTTGTCTATCTAAGTGAAAGCTAGATAAATGGACGTTCACATATATCTAAATAATTTAAACAATAACCGTGACATCTACTACTTTTACATTTTTATTTCTCACTCTCTCTCTCTCTCTCTCTCTCTCTTTCTCTCACTCTCAGTAAAACGCAAATAATAAATAAGTTACGTATGTGTATATATATATATATTTATAATAGCAATAATAATAATAGTAGTAGTAGTTTTTGTTTCAATGTAAATTATTATTATTATTATTATTATTATTTTCTTTTTTACTTCATATTTTTCTTCTATCTATAAGCTAAGCATTATTATAGATATACATCATCATATTTTAAATGCAATTTCGATATCAAGGCAAATATGTATTTCTCATATCAATGTGTGCACTTATTAAAAAGGAAGATTTTATGAGAAATGCATTATTGAATTAACGATAATAATATAATTAATCTCTTAAATTTTGTGCTAACTAGATTTTGAATGTTTCTTCTTTGACTTCTGATTGCTATTGATATCTCTTTATCTCTATCCCTCTCTTCTCATGCATTTGATTTTGTTTTATTTTGAAAAGACAATGCATTAAAATTCAAATACTGTACAAGATTGCATTTGTCCTTCTAGGCTGGGCTTCCTGTGTATATTAACTTTTAGTATTTCTCCTTTATTTGTTTGTTTGTTTTGTTTGTTTGTCTGTATTACTTTTCGGCGAGTATAAATTAAAAATATTAAAATACAACCTCACAGAGGTTGCGTACACATTGGGGTAGACCATGCTAACCCTTTCACCGCTCTCAGAGCGTCACGCATACGTACACATATTTTACGCACGCATACGTACACATATTTTACGCACACATACGTACATATACATACTAGATTTTTCCCGTCGATAAACATTATATATGTATATATACGCGTATATGCATTATTATTATTATTAATATTATTAACACGTTGACTGTGCCACGTTAGTTTTTCAAGAAAATCTCCGTCAGGCCCACGTGCACCTGCTGTACTGACAAGACTATTGATCAATGTCATCAATTGCAATCTACAAAAAAAAAAATGCTCTTGAACAAAAAGTTAAAAAGACTCTTGCAAGTTATGTTATTCGAATATAAGACTTCATAAGATTGATCAAAAGTACGAATAAATATAAAAAGAACAACAACGTTTTTCCCGGATTGCCCAGATCAACCCCAACTTTGTATAAACAGTTTCAAAGCACACATTTCATTGTAAATAATTTTTTAATAACAATTCAAATTTTTGTAGAAAACTTTTATAACAATTCAGTAGTCTAATATTTTGTGAAATATTTTTTAATATTATATATTAAAAAAAGCATTAGCCAAATATGGCTGACATGACAGTCAACGTGTTAATATTATTAATATTATTATAATTATAATTATAATAATTATTATTATTATTAATATTATTATTATTATTTTCTTCTTATTATTTTTCTTTTAATTGCAGAAGAGGGGGGGTCACAAGTTCCCACACGTAAACAACCGTAATCACTTTGAATTTTCACCATTTCAGCCTTTTGATTTTGAAACACAGGCAGTGAAAGGGTTAGATATGTTCTAGTTTTGCGATTGAACTTTCTTTCCACCACGTGGCTTAATACTTTCAGATATTTGCCACATTGCCTCCTCACAGAGGAAATCACTAAAGTTGTTGAAGAATGTTATAATTCGTTCGTGTTTCTTGAAGGAATATGTTCTAAAAACCAACAAAATTCATTTAATTATATCTCTGATTTATGTTTTCAATAATTAAGATTTTTATATCGTAACTTACCCTTTCTTGAACCTCTTCATATTTTCAACGATATTAAATTGTTGCCATCTTTTAGAAAAATTAATTGTACCATCCGGTAACAAATCACTGTTCCCAATATGCACAAACGTAAGATCTTGTAAGACTAGTCCACTGTGTGTACAAATAAAAAATATTTTATCATTTTAATTTGTATAAAATATATTAGATCGAGTCATAAATAACTTCCGTTTTTTATGAGACAAATAATGGTGTTTCTGCGACTGATAAGTACAAGACACCTTTCATGGAGTTTTTTTTTTGCACTCTTTGCAATTGTTGAACGTATCTATTGGATTTTGCTCCAATATTACCTTTAAAAGGTTCATCAAAGTCGGAAATACGTCCTGCACTCGGTTCATCTTTTAAGATTGTATCTCCAGAACGGAATTTTACAAACCAATTTCTGACTGTCCTATCAGTTA